GAAAAATATAGCTTACATGATTCTTACCATAAAATTGACAAAATAAAATTGATGATACTTGTACCAAACTTTATGATCCCAACTCCAATGTTTTTTACATATAGTTTTGTCCACCAAAACTAGTTGACCCAATATAACTATTATAAAATTGGTAGTTTTTTTTGCCCATGACAATCTTGGAAGTTTTGCCCCCTATATAAACCAACACTTTTTTATACTTCTTGATAATTTTTCACTCTCGTTTTCTTGGCTAATTCACTAAACATCTTTATTTTAAATTCTCTAGTTTTAATATCTCTTGCATAATCAATTGCAAATACATAAGATGTAAAACCACAAGATGCATTCAAAGAAAATTATAAGTCATTTAATCCTCGAACAAACCTTTTCATTCTCGTCATCTCTATAGGAATGAGATGACGACCATATTTTAATAGCCAAATAAATTGCACTTCATATTCAAAAATTGTCATATCCCTTTACTTTAATATTTAAAAGGCTTGTGGTCGTTGATTCTTTACACTTTTAAGTAAAAACCTATCAAGAAACATATCACAAAATTCCTCTAAATCCAATTAGGAGTCTCTACAGCCTTTCTTATTTTTCTTTGACTTATAATAAGATATTATAACATCTCCTTTCAAACAAAAGGATGTTAAAAGAATAGCATAGTATTTTGTGAGTACTAAGGCCTCATATATTTTCTATATTTCACCTAAACATCATTGAAAATCTTCTAACAAATCACTACTATTAAAAGTTAAAGGATCTAGCTTAATAAAATTAATCAGGTCAGTACCTTAAACTCGTTAAGGGATCAAATCATCAATTGTATCCTTCTGTTTCTTTTGTTCAGCTACAATATTAGTTAATTTCTACACAACTTGAGTTATTTATACAATCCTTTAGCCAACACGTTTATTGATATACCAACACTTGAATCTTTTTTTTTTTGTTCCTTAATATTTGTTTGTTCATTCTTAGAACTTTTCATTTATACTTCTTGTACAAAATTTTCCATGGACTTTTCACCTTTAGTTTCCTTTTACAAAGAATCAACAAACTTTTTTGGCACTTGAGGTTGATAATTACATAGTTTTCTTCATTTTAAATATTTATGAAATATATAAGTGTAACAAAAACAATTCCAAAAATACTATCTCAAATAATGTTCATGTAACAAATATCTACGAATCAACAAGAACATTTCAAAACATGGTAGATTCTATGCTCTTAAAATTTTTAAACAAAAACATAGCTCTGACATCATAATTGTCACGTATAAAATCAGAATATGACTAGCATATGATCGAAAACAAATAATTACTATTCTGAAAATGTTAAGCATCAACTTGTCAAACTAAAACATTTTCTAAATAAAAAAGAATTGAATAACTACAAAACATAATTCGATGAGATATTTATATTATGTACTTACAAAACATCTATAACTATGTACAACAATTTCAAAACAAACACTCAATCTATAGAAATTAAAAAGTTTACATCGTATGTTTATACAATTAAAATATAAAATACAAATAAAATCTTTAAGTTATATGAAAGCAAACTCACACATCAAACTAATAACTTTATGCATGCATCCAATTTTCTCTTGGTCTAATGTTTATATGTCTGAAATAAAGATAATTACGAAAAAAAATGAGTTTTCATAGCGTAATGACTAATCATTATTAGTTTATCCAAGAAAAATATATTCAAACACACATATAATGATTTACTTAATATAATCTAATTTCATAGATTAACAATTCATCAAACAAAATAAACATATATGGGCTATTAATTAATAAAGTTATGGGTCAGATAAGTCGAGTAGTGCTAAACTATTATAAAATTCTTGATTATTTTTCTTATTTATCTCTTTACTTTTCGCATTATGACTTTATTATAAATGTTGTTTTGTTTGTGAGCTTAAATAAGTTGTTGTTTGTGTAAGAGCTAAAATATTTATTTGTAAATAAATAATTGTGTGTTTTTAAGAGCTTATAGGTGTAATTGAGTTCTTATCATTTTTTTCATCTAAAATCATATTGGTGAGCTTAGTTTTAGAACACCTAATTTACCCCCTTTCCTTTTTAAGTCTTTCAAGCTTTCATCCATTTCTTTATTGATTCTTGATAGCTAAACTTATTTGTGATCTATTTTTACATTGCTTCGTAGAGACTTATAAGTTGTTTGGCATTGAGATTTAACTTATTTTTCATAAAATTTTGAAATTTTTTTACTTCAAATTAATATTTTTAGTGTTTTTGAATTGTTTTGATATATCAATATTAAAATAATTTTTTCAAAAAAATATTATTTTAATATATTTTTAAATAAAAAATACTTTAAAAACTAACATTTATCATATTTTCAAATACTCCCTTAAACTCATTTGTGAATATAAGTATCATACTAAAAATGTTAGAAAGTTCAATTTGCCATTCAATCTTATAACTTTTTTATAGTTACCATAAGACTTCACATATTAAAATTTCTTTTATTGATTAAGAACTAAATAAGACATCGTATTTTAAGGTGACAAATATTTTTTTTTTCTCTTTTTTCTTCTCTTTCATTTTCTTCTCCAATCTCCTTCCTTCTCGCTCCACCTTGCCTAACAAACAAGGTGAACTAAAATTATATCATCACACTAACGCCATTACAACTGACTAGTTTAGAAATATGCAAGTGAAAAAGGTAGCAGAGATTGGGAATAGAGAATAAAAGATAATTAAAATAGCATAATTGCAATCTCTATGCACACACTTTATTCTTCTGTGTTTCATTTATCTATTGAATCTCTATTTCGAGATTTGAATTTCATTGATTGATACTGGCCAAACATAATTCTGTATCTTTTGAGATTAAAATAAAAAATTATGAAGCAACTAAGGGTTTGTTGAAAAAACTAGAGTACTAGAGTAATATTCTGATTTTCTAGAAAATTAAAAAGAAAAATAGAACTGTTTATTCAAATACAATATTTCTCCATTAAAAAAAAAAACCTTTTAAAGGTTCATCCACAATTTTTCTTTACAAGTTTTTCATTATTTTTAAAATAAAATCAATATTGTATAATCAAATTATCACAAATACAAAATATCAAGATGACTATTATAAATAATTAACTTAATCTTTTATAAGAAATAGTTGTAATTTTTTTTTTTTATGAAGTTATCTCAATCTCATAATTTACATCACAAGTTTAACAGGTCATCCCAAATTGACTTCAGTGTTTTTTTTGTACTTTTGAATTGATTTTTTCTCATTTCATTTTTAATATTGTGTTGATTGAAAATTAGATTTTTTAATTTTATTTATTTATTTTCTATAGAGTTATCTTGATCTTATAACCAGGATTGCGAGCTTGACAAGTTAATTCTGATTAACTCGGGTAGCTTTTTTATCTTTTTTATTTTTATTTCTTCCTTTAATATTGGGTTGGTTAGAAATTAACCTTTATAATTTATTTTAATTTATTTTTAAAAAATTATTTGACAAATTAGTACATAAAACGATCCAAACACATCAAAAAAATATTAATTTAAAAAATATTATTTTTCTTATAGCATGATATAGCCGCGTAATCAAGCACCTTAATTGTACAGAGCAATCTGAATAGTTCCCAAATCCATGTGACCATTATATACTTGGTTCAAAACCTTACTCTTTGAAAGAAAAAAAAAATATACTAGGAGTCATGAAGGCATACATGTTTTAAAAACTAACAATGATTTACTGGTACAAATCATAAAAAGCCCAAAAAAAAAATATAATATAAAGATATTTTTTAACTTTAATTTTTTTTATATATAATTGTAACACTCCATTCTTAAATACTGTTTCTTTAATATTTTTTTAATTTTTTCATTTCAAATGCAACCTAATACATAATTATCAATCCCATGTTTATGGAAGATAAATTTAATCTTGAAGCATTGGAGATAAATTTTAATTTCTAAACCGATAGTATTTGTTTTCCCTTTCTATTTTTTTTTTTAAATACCCAAAAAAATTTCTCATTGTCTCTTTCTCCAAGTCTTACAAATATTTTCATTGTTTTACTTAAAACTAGGAGCATCGGTAAGAGGACAGGACATTTAGAAACCGAAACATTCAAAACTTCCACAATTGTAACATGTGATGCAAGGCAACGTCAGAGGACAAGACATTTACTGTGCACGGAAGAAAGTAGGAACTAGGTAGACATTATTTTTCATATTTACCTCACATGCCGCAGTAGTCACTTCGTACCTGATCTCTTGCTTTGCCCCCTACTGTTCATGTCGACCGCCATATCTTTTGCTTTCAGGTGTCACACTCACTGGTTTTGCTACAAAAAACGAAGACTGTCCCTGTCTCCCTGTGCATGGTTCTTCCTTTCATGACTTAACATCACTGTTCACATCGTTTTCTCTTCTCTTATGGGTAAAGGAGGGGGAAGACAATAATACCTCCGCAATGTACCTCCTCACAATTTATTGATTATTTTGTTGATTGCTATCGACTCAAGTTGATATTTTAGTCAATTTTAGTCGGAATACATTCGCAAATACACTCCTGTGCAGTTTTTGTTATAGCATATGCATTAAAAATATTTTAATATTACTTCTCGCAAAATTGCTAGAGATTGACATTCGGCCCATGATATTTACAAATTGAGTTTAGGCCTAAGTAACCGTTTACGGTTTGTTGTTGTTCCCAAGACAACTTGGCAGACATGGCCGTCTACCTGGCCAAACCCTTGCCGTGCGTTCTTCTTCCTTTCATGCTGGTTCATCACTAACCTTTCCCCAATTTCAATGCACGTAGCCCCGTCGCACTACCCCAAATATACTCTCTTTAGAGATGATCTAGTATGTTTTCTTGTAGTGACTTGAGCTCAAGTCTCACTAACCTATTTGCTTTCTGCAAAGTGCTAGCTTTGACCGTGGTAGGGAACTTCTGGGCTTGCATAATTGTAAGTTTCAACGTGGTGTTAAATAAAATGTTCATCAAACATTTGCCAACACGCATCAGCAAGGATTTATATTCAATTTAACGCCTCAAAAAGGTCCCCAAGTATATACCCCAATAAATTTTCCTCGGTCATTTGAGATATATGGCGGCAAAAAGAGTCATTCTTCTGTGGCATTATTATTCACTTTCAACTTCCATTTGAAGATGAAATGGATATATAGACACATGTCAACCCACAAAATCATGAATCATCTGACCTCCGAATGGCTGCTTAAAATGACCCTTGTGTTGCTGCAATTGTATTTGATGCTGTGCGCTTTCAATACCTTGTCTAAGACCCAAAGTAAGTGAAACAGCACCAAGTCCACCATTATCAGTCCCACTTCTCTGACACGGCAGAAAATTAATCGGTGATCCATCCATGGTGGTAGGGACCTGAAATTCTACTCTTGACCTCTTCTCTCTACTCAATTGTTCTGCATCCAGTTGTTCACCACAGCCTCCAGAGGAACCAATGCCATAGCATTCCATTTGTTTATCTAGCACAGAATTTGTACAAAACTTGTTTGAGCCTTCCTCGTCATTTGACTGGCTATTACCCTCTGCAGAATTTCCGTCGTTCTTCCCAGCTTTTTCTGCCAAACCTTTGGCTTCAAGCAAATGTATTTCCTCAACCATAGGTTTCCACAAGCGCACCCGGGCATTGATGAACCAGTTTGACACCTGCACTAATCTTTCAACTTGATTATCAAACATGATAATTGCATCTACATCTAGTGGAGTAAATTTGTATCTAGAAGCCAATGTAGTTAACATATTTCTAAACCAAACGGGATCAAGTGAATATTGTGTCTTTCTCATGAAATGCTGCCAAACTGCTTTAGTTAAAACACAAAATACTTTAATTTAGTGTCATCCAACTTCAAGAGCTCTAAAAAAGAGCATTATGGTCCCGCAATACCAAGCAAGCAAACGAGAAACAGTAATCGTGGCCAATTCATATACTAACAACTCCAATCAAATCAATGTATAAAATGGTCCTAATTAATCCCATCGCCCAAATTGAATCGAGACCCTTGGAAATAAATGATTAAAAAAATAAACAAGAAGCTGACTTACCTGGTTTCGAGTTAGACCCGTCTGAGTGGCTAACATTTGCTTATCAGCGTCTGTGGGGTACCTACAAGTAGAAAAGTCTATTCGGTAAAATATTCTAACCAAATTGCAGATTTGAACGGTGGTGGTGGGAAACTCACGGGTGAAGAAAATGCTCAAACAGCCAAGCTCTAAGAACTGCTACTGAACGTTCTGGTAGGCCTCTTTGGGGCCTCCAAATGTGTTGTTGGGGTTCTTGGTACCCGACAGTAACCCCACCAGATTTGTTCGTTTGAATGCTTTGATCCATGTATCTTAACCTCGACGCACTTGTATCAACTTTACTACACATTGCAACTGTATTCCTGGAGAAAAGATCATCTCCTAGGGTTTTTGTCACCTGCTTGAGCTGGTCCACGATGGCATGTTTCAGACACCTGAAATTCCCGGAGACTGTCTTGAGAGCCAAGGTAACGTACGGGGTGGCAGCACTAAGACCAGCCACTGATTCAAAAGAAGAAGCTACCATTTGCATCTGTTGATGGTATTGCTTGTACCTTCTGCAAACCTTTTGGCAACACATGCAGTACAGTACAGTCAGCAAGCATGCTTGTTTTAAGTGATGATACATGATAATATGGTGAAAATTAATGTGTTAATATCTCAAAAGATAGATAAATATTGCTGGCATGCATATTCTAAGAAATATCCACAGATAATTGGTCATAGTAATCTTTGGATATTTGGGAAGTAATAAATGTTGGAATGGGCATAGGAACATGTGTTGATGTATAATGATTGGGCGGGGGTAACAACTCTGTATGGTGTCAATAGGAGAAACAGGGGGGGTAGCAAAGTTAGACAAGATTGGAATGGGCATAGGAACATGTGTTGATGTATAATGATTGGGCGGGGGTAACAACTCTGTATGGTGTCAATAGGAGAAACAGCAATTCCGCTGTACCCTTTTTTTTTTGGCGCACCAGACCTTAGCTAAATTGGGAAAATCAACAGTAAAAACTATGCAGTTGAGATGCTGATCACACTTTAGTTTCCACTGTATAGTTAGGGCTGATTTTTGCAACTTAAAAAACCGATGCTCACTATCGGTGTAAAGAACAAAATATATAACTCAACATCATAGAAAAAAAAAAGAATAAAATAATAATTATCCATTCCCAAAAATCAAAATATAAAAATGATAAAATTAATAAAAAAAATCTTAAAAAAAACACACTAGCAAAACAAGTGAGGTCATCAAAACTCGCGGGTAGGATCATGCAAAACGTGAAAAGAAATGAAGTTCAATTTTAAAAAGAATCAGATTTTAAAGAACAAAATCAAAAAGAATAAAAATACAACCTTAAAAAAACATGGAACATCTAGACAAACCTCTCACTTAGATCATTATACAGGGGTAGCCAAAGTGAAAAAGGAATTAAAGTTAACAAAGTTTATTTTTCAAAATAAAAAACAACATCAACCTATGTTAACTTTCCAAACTCATGACCCTATCTAATGACTAAACTGAAAGCATTGTATCTTGGAAAGCTACAATTTTAAAACATTGCTTAAGCTAACAAGTTGGCCCATAATCTAGGTAACCGTGGCTTAGACCAAGCCAAGTTTCAAAAGAGATTGAGGGGAAATTGTTCTAGTGTAAGTTGGTCAAAAACCCGGATTGATTCATATTTCAGTTAACCTGGGCAAGTCTAGTCAAAACATGAATCAAAACTCATTGGCTATTCTCTTTTTTTTTTCAAAACAATATCATTTTGACTTTTTATAAAACAAAACGATTTGGTTTACTTAGGTTAATTTGAGTCAACTCACTCAACCCATGACTCGATAGTTGTCTCGGATTGACTCTTAGATATGGCCTAGAAACAAGGGGACAAGGAAATCAATTCTTAATAGTTCGAATGATGAAATAAAAAAAATCAAAGATAAAAAATGACAATTAAAAGAATAAAAACCTGATTTGAAAAAACAAATTAAGAGGATAGACTAAAATTTTGAATTGAAGAGCAAAATTAAAAAAAAATCAAATTAGCAAATGAAACTTAAATAAAAATAAAAATTAAGCTAATAAAGACCACATTAAAAAAAATACATGATTATAGATTTAAGGATGAAATTGAAAACAAATTAAAATTTAACGAAGGAGCTAAGAATCAAAATTAGCAATTAAAACATTAAAAGTCAAACTTCAAATATCATTAAATATCAAATTGAGGAGCAAAAATGAAAAGAAAAATCAAATTCACATAAAAATCTAAAACTAAAATGAAAAGCAAGAAAATGGACCATATATGAAAACATTAAAAATAAGATCATGAATTGTAGGATAAAATTGAAAAGAAATTAAAATTTGATAAAAAAGCCAAGAATCTAAATTAGAAATCACAACATTGAGGGTCAAACCTGAAACATCATAAAATAAAAGGATAAATTTGATATAAAAATCAAATGATCAAATTGAAAAAAAAGAGAGTTAAATTTGATACAATTAAAAGAATAAGAACCAAATGTGATAAACTTAACAAATAACACTTCTAATTTTTTACAAGGGCAGCACATTTGTGAAGGATGAAGAGAAAACAAAGGGGGGAAGAAAAAACATCGTCAAAACTCAACTATGCATTGGGCGGCAACACATGCTGAACCACCATGAAAGAAGTGACAAGATACATCCCACTCACTTGCAGCAATTCCTTTTTTTAATTTAATTTATACAAATACCAAATTGCCCCTAATCCCACAAAACATTTAGAAGAAATAACAATAAAAAGATTTTTTAAAAAAAAACCCTCAATCATAGCTTTAGATTATTAGACTCTAAGAGTACTTTAGTAACTACATTGTTAAAACTGAAAACAGCATTGCCCTAATTGTTAAAGAAATTCAACTTTTAAAAGTATTTTAGATATTACGTTTAGCAAATGAAAGATTAAAAAGACTCCCTTACCCCCCCAAAAAAAATCAATGCAAAAATACTATATTACCCTTGAAAGTATGATATAAGACTTAAATTGTTAAGGGTAATACGATAATTTTACTGGAGATCCACAAGCTGATAATGGCAATAATTTTGACATTACAGGAAAACAACTTGTTGGGTTTTGGACTAGTGGACAGTTACTTTGAAAGCTAAGTGCACTAATTCCATTATGGGATTGACATGATGTTTGGACAAGGTGGGCCATCAAGGTCCCACCACTAATTCCATTTAGTATCTAATTTCAAAGCAATCCATCAATGGTCACTAGTTTATATAACCAATCCATATCAGCTGCTTACAAACGCAAACCACAAACCCTTTCCTAGCATCAGAATATTTTGTATTGTAGCCTTGAACAAAACAAGTAAAAGGTGCTGCCAGTCAAGATGTGCTCTCGTGCCGTCCATAAATAGCATCTGAATTACTAATCACCATGCAACTACAAGTTAGGTCGATTATAAGTTGCGTTCTACCTACCAGTGGAACATAATTTCATCATTACACTGTATATAACCTCAAGATATTTGAAAAAAAAAAGAAGCAATAATGCATACCAGAAAAAGGCAACAGACACTGAATGCGATGCGTTTGGTGATTGTATGCAAGCTTGCTTGAGAGATGATTGCAGGGGCTAGTATCATGCAACTGATTTTATCGTGGTGAAATCAACACTGTAAGTTTGAACTACATGCAGGCAGCAAAATTGCGAGGCCGGACATATTTGAAAACTCATTTTGGAATTGAAACCCCATGAAATCACTAGATGCCCATGTAAGAAGTCCTCAAATCCTACAATATGGTAGGAAAAAGAAGTCCTGTCCAGCTTCAGAACTGACTGGGAACAAGGCGAAGAAAGGAAAATATTCCAAAATAAGCATTCTATTTCGTCCCATATAGGTATCATCTTGTCATCAAAAGTCCAGCAAATTCAAGTTCTCTCGATTGATTCTGAAGCAATAAAGAAGGGGAAAGTGCTCAAACTCAACAAGATAGTTTCCTAAATGACATTTGCTCTTCAAGACAATTACAAAACCTAATTTGATCTTCCTAGTTTTCTTTCCTGATGCGGTATGCATATCATGCATGGAAAAGGAAACACGAGGAAAGTATTCGAGCCACAAGGAAGACTATATTTGGATGAGATATCCTTATTCAGACTCTGGTCTGCCAGGACCACTATAAGTAGCATCAAAGTTTTTAAAGCACATAAATACATAAATAGCATCTATAAATAGCCTTTTTTTCCTTGTTCAAGTCTCAAGTCGCCACTTAGTGGCATTTTAACCAAAAAAATCACTTTAATGGCGTTGTCCTCCACCATATCCCTTGCCATCTAAGTACAGTCCAAGATCTATTATGGAAGCTGCTTGTCTGACTGCTGACTTCCTTTTCAGTCATCGATATTTTTCAAAATGATTGAGTCATGTTGCCTCAATAATCAAGCACTCATTTTAATAAATAGCACGAGAGCCTGGGTGCCAGAAGTATGAGCTCAAAATGAAACAAAGTAGATAAAAGGGAGGCGGCTCCATTTTGAAAAGGTAGGCCTCTAATTCTAATTCCTAAGCTGATCTCTTTCGGCACTTTGGATATGAAATCTGCTCTACATGTCTTCATAAAAGTAATTCAATAATCGTTACACTAACCTTGAAAAAAACTCAAACCATAACTATTCCTAAGAGCAGTCAGAGAGTGAGCACACAATTCAAAGCAACAATCACTAATTTACCAAAATCTCAGCTTAAAATTCAGTTAATATAAGAAAATCTTTTCGCTTATAGCTATTTCTAATTACTTCCAGCATTAACTCTTTATTGTGAACTATAAAAAATTAATTTCAGTGAACAAAGGCTTGTATATAATCTTCCACTGTCAGTCTTCTATAGCTCGTGACCTTATCCACAATCATTCTCACTCCTGTTATCTTAAGGCTGACGGTGTTTATCTTCGTCCTTAAATTGTTAAGATTTTGCTTACAGCATTTTTGCTCATGCTAGGTTTAAGATTCTCAAAGTTCGCTTAATGCATCCTATTCATTTTAAAATTAAATGAATAAATAAATATGCAGCTTTCTTTTGCGTAAATTAGTTAATATATCAGTTCTAATTCATAATTTCTTTTGGCATAAAAGTACATTTAAAAGTTTCGAAACTACTTCAGCTATGTTATAAACTAGCAGCCTAATCAGGTAAAGCACAAGTTTCAGTAGTTTTAAATTCCATAGAGATTCCACCATCATCAACTCTCTTCTCTCTCCCCCTCCCTCTCTCTCTCTTGATAAATGATGATGTTCCCTCCAAAAAAAGTTAAAAAAACAAACTGAGAGAGGTGCGGAGTAGACAAACCTCCTCTTCCAAGAATAGGAGCTTTGCCTTCATTTGTTGGTATTCTGGACCATAAGATCCACAAGAGCCGCCGCCTCCACCTACACCAGCACTACCACTTCGCTTGTTCGAACTGTAAAATGTAGAGGATGAGATGCCTGAAATATCGTTGCCGTCAGTCCCGCCCTCTTCGTCAACAGTATTAACAGTGTCCGCCAAAGCTGGAGCACTAGCTTGATCGCCAGATATCCTCTCAAACATCTCAGATGTTCTCATGAGTTTTGGGCCTGTTATAATAGAGAATTCTTCCAGTAGCTCCTGAGCTGGCTTCAAGAATCCTGAACTCTTTAGAATAGTTGCATATCCAGTAAAAGGTCCGAGAGGACCGGTATTTCGAAAAGCATGTGTAGAAGTTCCCACGACGTCATGAAGTGATTTCCCACCACCTTTACTTATAATTGACGGTTTAGGCATAGCACAGAAAGAGCTTGACTTGGAAATTTTTGAATCTTGTTGAGATTCTTGAGAAACCCGAGCCACCTTCAATTGCAAATGTTCAGATGCACATCCCTCTCCAAAACGGGTAGCTTCAACTTTAGATGGTGGATTGATTGATGAAAGAGACAAAGATAAACCCTGATTGTTAGCATCACTTCCAATAGTCCTCAACTCTTGGTCGCTTGTCCTTGCAATAGGACCGAACTCACCACTCCAGTGATGGTAGTTCTCAAGTGGTCTGCTCATCCAAGTACTGGTATTATTATCAAAATGTAAAGCAGTTGATTCAGTTGCATATGATGGATGAACAATGCGTTCATTAATTCTAGGCCGAAAACAGCCAGAAGGAATAGCATCAAGGAGTGTATTTTGGTAAGGTGGAAGAGAAGTGACTTGCATCTCCCTCGCGTCCTTCAGGCTATCATCACTTAAAATTTCACCAGATGAATTCCTTAAAGTAGATGGAAGCTGAACATCTTGGTTCTCGAAGTAACTAGGCATCCAATATTGTCTGGATGTTGAAATGTTGCTTACTCTTGCATTATTTGACAAGACTTCACCAACAAACATAGGTTTCTGATTCCTTTCCCCACCTACTGAACCACCTGCATAATTCACCATCAAATCATAACTTTGCTGCGATTCAAGGCTTCTCCAATTACCGCATTCTTGTGGGTCACAGGTAGTGGATTTAGGTGATAAAGCATTGAAGTTGGATAAAACTGGGTGAGACATGCTGGTGAATGAAGAATCCTCTGCTGGTATAGGCTCTAGTTCTTGATCAACAATTGCATCTTTAGAAGCTGATACAGCATGAGAACTTGTTGCAAAATTGAGCATTTCTGAGGAAAACATAGTAGAATCATAAAGTATATTGCCATTCCTAATATTTCGAACGTGAACAGGATCTGGGCTTAGCCCCGGACGGATAGAAAAATGTTCCAAACAGTTAGGAAATTCATCTATATGCTGGACTGAGGATAAACTTTGTTGAACTCTCAACTTATCTCTCCGGCTTTGCTGTGCTACATGTGAATCTGGACTTAAATTTCTTGTGTCCATCTAATGCTAGGATGCCACCCTCGGGTTTTGCTTACTTTGACTGGAACCTTTCTAGTAAGCTCAACACGCAACATAAGGCCAAGCTTGCCACCTTGAACAAGACATTGAAAGTAAGAACCAAGTGAAAGAATCCACCGTTTCCAACATCCACCGAGCTTGGTCCTGTCACTCTACGAACTTAAAGTTCCTGCAATACCATCCTGTTACAGAGATTACAAGGTATATTAATGCTGTACATTTTACAGCCACGACTGACATAAAATGTAACAGAATAAAAACAATTAAAAAAGTGGCAGGATATGACGACACGAATCTAGAAGAAAGAAAACATATTCATCAAGAAAGGAAAAAAGAAAAGCAATAACAGTAGAACCAACTGTAGGTTCGTCATCACTCAGAGAGCGGTCTCTGCTCTCAAATCTGTACAAGACTTTTTCTACCATTTTCATCGTCATCATTATTTTATTTCCAACTTTTGTACATGTTACAGCCAAACAGTAAGGCTTTCTTTCACCAAAGGAGCAGTGAAAAAATCTTGCAGAGTTAATACTCAACAACTCGAACCAACTCAATCTTGGACTAAATAAGAACTGTCTGTAACCTGCCATCCTTTTATATGCATGTGTATATACTGCAGTACAGGTATATCATAATTATACCTCACGTAAACCACTGTAACCCTAATTCAATAAAAAACAGCATAAACCCTCGTGCATGTCAGCAGTCTAGAACAGCTAAGGAAAAAACAAGAATGAGAGACTGAGTTCGAAGAGATCCAATTGTTGAAGAACATGTATAATGAAAATCTCTTGTTTCACTTTGACCCCTGCAGCTTTAGTTGCTTCTTGATAACCCTCACAGGTTATGAAGAAGAAAACATATAGGTATCAAACAGAGCTTTCCAAATACATGAAAATGAAAAGAACAAAAGGAGATGCGAGGGAAAAAAAGGAAGAAGGTAAAGATAAATCTTTGAGCAAGATTTTGATGATCAAATTTCAAAGGAAAAACTCATGAGAAATACTCCAATCTTGTATCAAGAAAATTAGTAATTACCTTAAAAAAACATGGAAACCAATCCATAAAAACACGAGAAGGGTACAATTTCCGGCGAGTTTCCGGTGAGGTTTCTTGGTTGTGTTTTGGTGGGAGAAGAAAGCGTGCACGAAGGAGGAGGAGGACAATAATTGCGAAGTGTTGGTATTTGCCGTTAGCCTTAACGCCTAACCCGCGCTTTAGCATTTTCAAGCCATGTTTTAACGTGGTTTCGACGTTAAATCTGACGGCAAAGGAAATGGCACGCTCGTGGATTGAATTCTTGTCTCCCCGATGGGTCCCTCGAGCGAATTTCACTCTTTTCCCTTTTGATGCATAGGGCCATATAAAAGGCAGGACGTTGTAGTTCTAGGAAACACCCCTAATTAATGATTTTAATCACTAAAATATCATGTCTTACTAATAAATAACTATTTTACAGTACAATTATGAGAGATTAATAATAATAAAAACTTCTTCTTAATGTTTAAATTGGAGTAATAAATTAAACTTTTTAATCTTGAAATGTCTATCCTGAAACTTTATTATGCGGCATGATCAGAGATGAGTTTAAGGCATTATGCATCAATTAGGAATGGAAAGCACTCTCAAGGTTAAACTAATTAAAAAAATAATCATCAAAGTTTCACGGGAAAGGATTTATACCTAGGTTGTTTTTTAGTTTCAATAATATTTTAAAATAATTTAAATTTTTTATTAATTATTTTTTGATATTTTTGTATCGTTTTGATATTTTAATATTAAAAATAATTTAAAAAATAAAAAATATTATTTTAATATATTTTAAATAAAAAAATAATTGTTATTACATTTCTAAGTGATTATTTAATCTCAAACAAGTAATGGGCTAATCCTCGTAGAAGGATGCATGGACAAGCAAACATTAATGAAAAATAAAAATTGAAAAAATGATTTTCCATAAACTTATTACGCCGCATGCTTAAAATGAGTTTAGGGCCATGAGGAGAGGATTGCACTAACCAGCTTTATTGATGAAAAATCAACATCCGCCAATTATTGAAATCATTCAACCAATTAAAAACAATCATCAAGCTTTTATTAACAAGGATTTAGAATATATTTATTTTTATATTTTAAAAATATTTTTAAAAAAACTATTTTTTTATTTTTTTATTTTAAAATAATATTTTTCAATGTTTTTATATCATTTTAATGTGTTAATATTAATAATATTTTTTAAAAAATAAAAAAATTATTAATTTAATATATTTTTAAAATAAAATACTTTATAAAATAACTACAGCTATAATTTTAAATATTCTCTTAAAATTTAACAAGTAAGGAGCTAACACTCGTAAAAAAATATACAAGCAAAATACTTATAAAATTGATTAACATGAAAATAGACACAAGAGATTTAATATAAATTTTTAAAAAAAAACAAAAATAAAAAATATTGTTATTGATGATGATGGAGCAAGACTCCTAGAAATATTTTTTAGAAGAAGAGTCTATTTTTGCAGAGAAAAGGATGGGGTTTTAAGTTGCAAGACATGTTATATAAAGGAAGAATTTTCATTTCATTCAATTCCATTAAAAAAAATATTTAATTGCATTAATTAAAATTTAAAACACCTCAATTCAAACATGATATCAAATTACAGTAATTTATCTCATAACTTAATACAATAAAAAAAAAACTTAGTAGATTAAACATGATTTTTTTTATAAAAAAATTATAGATTGGTCATATAATTTCTTTTTATTTTAGACTTTGATCATCTCTTATTGAATAATTTAGTTTTAGAACATGCAATTAAAAAAACAGTTTGAGAATATAAAAAAAAAGTTACTGCGATGTGTTTTAATAAATTCTATAATTACAGTGGTAATTTCGAATTGCTATTATTTACATCTCTGGTGCAATTTTTTCTTAATTTGAGTGGCAATTATGGGATTTAAAGCTTTTGTTTATAAATGCATTTATTTAAAATACTATTAAATTTTAGTGACATATGAAACAAGTGACTTTAAATTCTATGTGAAGTTCTATCATAATTTTTTTTAAAGATAAACGAATGTGTTATAAAAACAATTGCTTGGAAAGGTCATTATAACATTACTTGCAATAAATTTTACTCTAAATGCCACGATGACTACTATCTGAATTTCATTTTGTTACGATGAGACACTCACCAGTTTTCTATTGTCAACTTTCATTTTTCAATTCAATAATTGTGCTTTTAGCCGGAATAAGTTAAATTATATTTAGTTTTATCTGAAATTTAAAGAACTATATCCATAAATAAATAAATCCATAAATAACCAATTTTTAAATAATTTATCATGTCAAAATATATGTTAATTATTTTTTTATTTTTTAAAAAATTATTTTTGATATTAATATATTAAAATAATTTAAAAATACTAAAATATATTAATTTTAAATAAAAGAAAATTTTAATTTTTTTAAATATTTGTAAAATATAGAAACAAACAAATTAGTGTGAATGATTGAAGACATGAATAGAGTATTTTTGAGTTTTCTTCGTGTACAAAGCACACAAGCAAACTCAAAGAACGACATCAACAAGTAAATAACTAATCAGTTTAAGGACTTGTTTCGCAATAGACGGGAAAGTAGAGCGTATCATCGTGGAAAATCCAACAAGAAATTACTTGGGACACAATGCACGCGTGAAAAGAAAAAAAAAAAAAAACTTAAAAGTCTTGCATCTTCTATGAGTTGCATTTGCACGTTTTGGGTAGGATTATTATTTTTTAATGTAAAAAATTATTAAAGTGTTTTCTAATAAAAAACATTATTATTAATTTAAAATACAATTCTGAATATTTTTTTTAAATATAAATACAATGATATATTGAATGATTTTTTCAAATATCAAGACAATGGTATATTAAATCGTCTTGGATTAATTATTAAATTTGTAGGGTCATGAGACTATTATAATCATATAAAAATCAGATAAAAATAAACTATAAAGATTAATTCATAATACAATAAATATTGAACGGCATAATTAAAAAAATTATTAAAATAAAAAGGAATAAAAAAAATATCTATATATACTCAAGCCAACTTGTCAAACCTATGTCATAAATCATGATATCAAGATAATCTTATACAAAAAAAATAAAAATAAAAATTATAAAACTCAATTTTTAATTAATTTAATATTGAAGAAAGAAATAAGAAAAATCAATTAAAAATAATTAAAATCAACTCTGACTAAACTCTTAAATCTATGACCTCTAGCATGGTATGAAGATGATTTAATGGAAAGAATCGTGATGAAATTAAATATTTTCAATAGATTCAAACAATCAATTATTAAAAAATAAAATTTAAAAAATAAAAAAATTTGATTGCTAGATAGTAAAATTAAAAAAATCAATTAAAAAAATCTAAAAAAATTTTTAGTCAGCTTGTAACCGGGTCATGCGAATAAGATAATATAATATAAAATAAATTAAAAATAACTATGATGTTTAATTCTCAATCAACCCTTGTAAAGATAATAAAATTTAAAATATTGAAAAAACAAAAAAAAAGTTGTGTCAACTTAAATTAACTTATTAAATTGTAATAAAATTGAAATAAATTCTTAGATAACAAATTGAAAAACAACTCATGATATCATAATATTAACATATTTAATATTGGAGATTAAAATTGAAAAAATAAAACTAATTAACTTTATGAGGCCAATATATAACCTAAAAAATATATAAATCACATTTCTCAAAATAGTCTAATATTATATGATAAAATTTAAAAAAATAAAAAAGAGAAAGATTGGATCATTGAATGATGTAATTAAAAATAAAAAAAATATATTACAATGAGTAGTATTTTCTGAGTAATAGTATGGTCACCTTAGTAATAAAATCATGGTAAATTTATAGATAATAAATTGAAAAAAAATCATTATATTATATTATTAATAAATTTAGTATTAAAAGCTAAAATTAAAAATTAAAAATTAAAAACTGATTAAATTCATAAGAGCACCACGTAACCCAACAAAAACAAATATGAAAAATAATTTCAAAACAATCTAATCATAAAAGATGAAACTTGATTGTATTGTTTAACTGTGAAATTAAAAAGAAAAAAAAACATTCCAGTGAATAACATTTTATGAGTGATACTACAGTGTTTCAGCATGAATTGTTAAATTAAATACATTACGACAATGCTTGGATTGTCATGGGCAAAGATTGTGGAAAATCCAACAAGAAATTACTTAGGACACAATGCACGCGTAAAAAGAAAAAAAAAATACTTAAAAGTCTTGCATCTTCTATAAGTTGCATTTGCACGTTTTGGGTAGGATTATTATTTTTTAATGTAAAAAATTATTAAAGTGTTTTCTAATAAAAAAATTTATTATCAATTTAAAATATAATACTAAATATTTTTTTTAAAATATTAATACAATATTTAATGATTTTTTTCCAATATTGAAACAATGGTATATTAAATCAATTTGGATTAATTTTTGAATTTACAGGGTCATGAGACTATTAAAATCATATAAAAATCAGATAAAAATAAACTATAAAGGTCAATTCATAATACAACAAATATTGAACGACATGATTAAAAAAATTATTAAATTAAAAAGGGATAAAAAAATACCTATATATACTCGAGCTAACTTGTCAAATTTATATTATAAATCATAATATCAAGTTAATCTTATACAAAGAAAATAAAAACAAAAACTATAAAGTTTAATTTTCAATCAATTTAATATTAAATGAAGAAATAAGAAAAAAAAAAATTAAAGTCAATCCTGACTAAACTCTTAAATCTATGACCTAGATCACGTTATCAAGATGATTTAATGAAAAAAATTACAATGAAATTAAATATTTTCAATAGGTTCAAACAATCAATTATTGAACAATAAAATTTAAAAAATAAAAAAATTTGATTGCTAGATAGTAAAATTAAAAAAATCAATTAAAAAAATCTAAATTTTTTTGAGTCAGTTTGTAACCTGGATCATACGAATAAGACAATCTAATATAAAATAAATTAAAAATAATTATGATGTTTAATTTTCAATCAACCCCGTGTAAAGATAATAAAATTTAAAATATTGAAAAAACAATAAAAAAAAAAGTTATGTGTCAACTTAGATTAACTTATTAAATAATAATAAAATTAAGATGAATTCTTATATAA